AGAGAAGAGAGAGAGAGGAGAGAGAGAGAGAGAGAAGAGAGAGAGAGAGGAGAGAGAGAGAGAAGAGAGAGAGGAGAGATAAGAGAGAGAGAGAGAGAGAGAAGAGAGAGGAGAGAGAGAGTATATATATAGATATATATATATATGTGTTGTGATATATGTATATATATATCATATATATATATATATATATATATGTATATATGTGTGTGTGGTGTGTGTGTGTGTGTGTGTGTGTGGTGTGTGTGTCCATTTAAGTGTTAAACACAGCACGCAGCATAAGTTACAAAGTTTTTTTGTAAATCAGGAAAAAGTTTGTGATTGTAATTTCTGAGCAGCAACACGTTACTGTTCGTTTTGAACTAAAGCTTGCCAAATCTCAGTTAGGAACCAGAGGATATTGCATGGTACAGACATCCTACATTCCTATATTCTACCCTAAATCAGTGAAAGCTTGTCTGCTACCCATGAAATTAAGGAATAGTAATATGGTTCATTGTCAATTGTCAAAACAATGAATTAACCCACACCTGACGCCTCATTCACTACTACTTGAACTGCTTAAAACATGTTTTTGCTGAGGCTATATGAAATAAACAGCAAGGTCGTCTTGCCTCATATGCGCATTGTATGTCGTACGTGACCTTCCAGGTATATCACCAATGACTATTTGCATGCAACGCGCTACTTGTGAACATTCTGTCTCCAAATTAAGTCGCCTTAGAATGCGCATAATGTAGCGGGCTTAGCACTAATCTCTACGTAGCGCGAAAATCTAGCCCATCATAGAGTGATCTGACGAGATCAGCTTAAGGATCATGTTGAAAACGACAGTCGGTGCCTAGGTTAGCTCATTTCTTGTCTGGTTGTTCAGAGCTGAGTTCAGTGCAGTTCCTTGCTGACTGGAAGACGTGGGTCTCGTGAAGTGAATTTTTGTTGGGATTTTTGTGAGGTTTGCGAGAAGTAAGTAAGTACAATTGTAAGTGGTAATGCTTATAAAGTTCAGGTAAATAGATAAAGTCATATAATTTTCATGATTTATGCTAGCTTATCGGTATTGCTTCAGTGCAGCGTTAAGTTGCTGACACGCCTGATTCCGTCGCTGACGGTATGGCTAGTACTGGCTGATGGAAATGAGATGACCTGCGTGTGAATGCACTTGGCTGACATCTGGCGGTGCAGACTGCAAAATGCCAGGTTAAGTGCAGTCAAGTTACACTGTATGCTATCTAACTAACGGGTCTGGGTCATAGGCGTCATGTAAAATATGCTAGTCTTATAGGTGAGATTTGAGAAATCTGGTTGGTAACAGGTCACAGGAAAGGTATCGTTTCCTGCACTGGCTTTGGTAGTCTCAAACTACATACTTGCTTCTCGGCTATTTGTATCGAGCTCCCATAGTATTATATATATATATATATATATATATATATATATATATATATATATCAAAGCAAGCCAAAACTGAATCGGTTCTTTGATTTACAAGCTGTGTGAGTTATGAGTCAAATGACTGAATGCAAGCAATGAGTCTGAACTGAGTCGGTTAAAAAAATGCGGAACAGCTGTGAGCAGTGAGCTGAGTAGGATCCTGAAATCTGGGAGTTAGTCCTGAGCCGGCCAAAAAAATCGAGTCGAACACAAGTCTGTCCACCACAGGGGTGTGGTTTTGCAAAATGGGTTTGAGGCGCTGAGCGGGGAAAATGACCGAATATGCCCTTGAACACATTAGAAGACAGGTTCTCCCTGGATTTGACCTACTTTTCTCTGAAAGTTAGAGAACTGGGGTCTTTCCAAGCTAAACAGAAAATTACACCCCTGTTTCGATGCGTTCTATCGCTCTGCCTCGGTGCGGTCAACATTACCTTTATGCTGGGCCCCGATGATCGAGGCCAGGTTTCGGCAATCCGCGTAGGGTCGATGTCACGTGACTTTAGACGTTGTTGCATCGTGTAGCTTCGGGAATAAAGGAAGTAAGTTAGTGTGCGCGATAACTAAAGGCTGCCACCGAAGCCCGCCGCCGGTAGCCCCAAGACGAGCTGCAGGCTGCATCGCAGAACTCGCGCTAGGCATGTTCGACACGCGGTAGTGCTGTTTCGTGGTCGTTGCCGGACGATTGCTGCTACCATTTTGGTCGAGCGGTTGTCTATGGTCGGTTTTCGTTATTCACGTCGCAGTGTAGGTCGACCCAATACGAGGGTTCTTCTGAACGTAGCGAATATTAGAGGGCATAAGCTACCTTTTTCTTTTTTCCACCTGTTATTGGGTCAGACGCGTACGACTTCGTCAGTGATATCAGTTTCTCTAAATCCTTCTGAACAGCTGAGAATTTCGATTTGAAATAGCCGCTTCTGCGGATGAAATCTTCTTGGACTCCTTGCTTACCAGTATGAAAGTAGTACATTTCATTTGTCTTGCTTTTTTGACGTGTGTGCTCTTTAATGCTTTCATTACACTACTTTGTCAAAATAATTTTGTAATAAATGCTTAGAAGGCTTCATACGCTCTGTTTTGACACAAAGATAAGCAAGCATAAAGCTATTATCCTGCGAATTCAACGGAACGTTATGCTATAGCTTTGATTTTTGCTCTATGGCGTCTATCACAGAGGCTCTTTTCGAGGCGCACTTTGGCTTTGAAGATGGGAGTATCATATTTCCCGGCCCGCTGGGCCAATCACAAACGTTCTTTCATTGGCGCCATCAGAGGTGCCGCGGCGGTTGGCGTGACGACAGCGGTAGCAACTGCAGAGAAGAAACGTAGTGCTGTTACAAAGCGTTGGCGGCATAATTTGGGCTGGAAAATAATCCAGATTTACAGCCTTATCATGTGTGATGGTGCTGCAGTGGTGCTGCCCAGTACTGCTGTGAGACGTGACTTGTCCTCAGGTTTCACTCGAGAATGCTTTTGAAATATGCCCAAAAGTTGGGGCACTCCCTTGGAATTAGTCACGTTTTTAGGCTAATTTCGGCCGGCCTGTTTCAATTCTCCGATAAGACGTGCCAGAACGTCGCAGGGAACGCAGCTTGTTGTAGTCTGTGGAACTTGAAACACCGCTGAATAATGCCAAAATACTCAGGCAATGATGCAAAACTAGACCGGAGGCAACAAGGCATATGACTTGTGTGATTAAAAACATACAGAATGCAGCAAAAACAGAACGTGCTCTAGCAAACACGGCACGAACGCGGAGCTCTGAAAGTTTGGCGAGCACCGTCGGCTTTACTCAAGTGAACATCACATCTCAGTTGGCACTTTTTGTTCCTTTTGCGCGTGAAGCAATTAAAATAGACTTTTGAAATGTGTATAAATTTTTAGTTCTCGCTTCTCATGTTCTACTTGCACGTAGGATCCGAAAGGTCGAGGGGGCAAAACTCGCCGTTATGGGTCGAACTGGAATATGGGAGAGGGTCGGTGGCCACCCAACAGAATGCAAATCGATACCGGTGTGTACATACTTCCCTGTGTCGTACGCGTAATACTTCCTATTGAATAATTTATGTGTTCCATGTGGTATGTAGTATGGATGTTAGTAAACGGAAAACATAACGTTGCCTAGCAAGGTCACAGACCTGGACATCCCACCAGCTGCTTAGTCCTCGCTGGTTCCACAACCACTGACTCCAGAATTATATGAAATAGTCGGTACGATCCCAGTCGCGTCGTCCATGTAAGGCCTCGCCTAAATAACGATTGTCCCACTATCTTATAGCCTATTATCTGTCTTCTCTCAGTCATGGTCCACCCAAGGGGCCGTGTAATGCTACTGCTCTCGGGAG